CTGAACACAGACCAACAACTAGGTGCACAGAAATGAAAGCGACAGGATTTTTATCAAAAACATAATTAATGTGATTGACATTTCCAGCAGTCACCATTTCTCATAATCCCCATTGTTTGAAGTTTAGAGGGGGTTAGATACCACCTTTGTATTCATTTATACTGAATACATTTCCCTTTGGCCTCTTTTACAAATTGACAGGAATCTAATAACATTTTGTCCCATTCCTCCTTACTTATAATATACCTCGAATCATTTATGCCAAATAATTCTTAGATTTTCATGTATAACAAATTTATATTTATTTTATTTATTTATTTGTTATTTTCTTTATTTCTGTCTTTTAATCAGAACCTGTCTGCAGGTTTAATGTTTAATGATTGTTTTTTTCATTTGTAAAGGTTTATTTAACGACAGTTTAGATTATGTAATGATGCGAAGAAAACAAAAAAAAGCTTAAAATGTGTATAATTTTATTAAATTTAAAAACAAGTATTCAGACAGACAAAAGGGAGGAGACGAGGAAAACAGAAGATACAGTTGAGTGGTAAATGGTTTTTTATTCGTATTTCTTCACGTTTTTAGTATCTATTTAATGTTAATTCAACTATTTTTATCTAAATTAGTTGATAAAAAAGACCGATTTGATCGTTTGTTTTTAGTTGAAAGCCTTTGGAGTCTTCGGAACTATTTATCGACTCGTTGTTTTGTTTCCGGGGGGGACAATAAGCGTGTAGGACCAGGATGTTCCGCCGGTTTTCCAACATGGCTGCCTCCATTGGAAGCGAGCTTTGAAGGAGACTAAAAAAAGAGATGTTTATGTCATTGCTCCAGCTCTGAGTTTTATTCTAATGGATAAAGGAGGAATATTTATCGGAATATTTGAACATAATCGAAGCCGTTTTTTTATGACATTTCCCACTTTGCGTGTTTTTTTCTGCTTATAAAAGTTCCTCTCAGTGTGGCGGATCACTGCCGATCAGTCCGTTTCTCATCAGGTTGATCCCGGATGGCTCCGCTGACAGGATGAAGGTTTCCCGCTGCCTCCTGCTCCTGGTCCGGCCGGTCCGGACCGCGGTCCAGTTCGGAGCTCCGCTTCCAGGGCCCCACGGCCCGCAGCAGGTCAGCTGAAGGCTCAGAGGCCGGTTCTACGGAAGACGATTAGGGCCATTAAGAAAAAGAACAAAAAAACATTAAACGAAGTTAACTGTTTTTAAATTTTATTTCAGTTTAATATGAGGGGAAAAAGGCAGAATTCTGAGATTTTGTTTATTATCTCTGATTTAAAAAACGATTTATTTCAAACTATATAAATATGAACAGAATCATTTTATAAAGATGGAAAAAACATTTAAAGTTATTTCAAGACTGAAAGATCAATTAAAATCAATAATTAGAGAAAAAAAAATTCAAACTAATTTTCGTTTAAATATAAAGATTATGAAATCAGCTCCTTCAGTGACAATATTTAGTCCTGCCTGCATGTTGGCTCCGCCTCCGAACATCCTGACAGGTTCAGGTTCAAGAAAAACAAACAAACAAACAAAAAACAGAATGGAATGGGGGTCGTTTGGCTGCTTTGTTAGCCTGCAATGCCCCATACCTGTCTATGTCTCTGAAAGGGGGTCGTTAGAGGGAGGGTCCAATGCATTTTTCCACTGATAAAAGGGAATCTGTTCTTCCAAATACGCTGATTTCCATTATTGGAGACCTTCTGCATGAGGCAAAGCCTTTGCTCCTCAGATTTAGCCGTTAGTTCATTAAAATTTACCAATAATATAATTAAACTGAATAGAAAATAAGAATAACAGAGCAGCTTATGTAATGCATGCCGGTTACATCACCTGAAATGGTCACACAATGACCTCTGACCCCTCCTTGGAAAGTTCTGAGCCTTTACTTCCCAATGATGGCGGCCATTAGGGGGCGGGGCTAAAATGTATACATTACTCCCACAGAGTCACACACTTCAGGTGGAATTTTAAATCTCATTTTATTTGTTTACACATCTATAAAACAAAAAGTACTTAATAATTTTTAAACATATTTTAGAAATTTTAAAGCCCCATTTGAAAGGTGTGTGGATGAAACACCATGTGACTGCGTTTTGGCTATTTCTATAATTAGATAAACTGTACTGAGCCTGCTGGGTTTAAGGGGTTAAAGCTGAAAATGCTGCATAAAACTTCCAGAACTGATTTAAAGTCGCTGATTATTCCAGAAACGGATCAAAGGTTTTGGAGAATTTTGAAGATTTTTGTTAAAGTTGAAGGGAAATCATATTTAAACGTGAAATCATTCTGGCTTAAACATGTATATAAATGTTCTCTTTATTGGACGATATTGGCCCAAAATTTAGAAAATGTCTATAAAAAAAAAAAAATCTACATCAGCCTGAATACCTAAATTCAGCCAATCATATATCAACGGTCATCTGTCAATCAAATGTTTTCATCATAGCATCTTGATTCATGTGTCGCAGCTAATATACGCAACGGTTGAAACCAGAATCCTTTCCTTTCCCATTGAGTTGCGTCCCAGTGTTCACGGGGATGGACGTCTGTGTCTTCGGCAGGCGTAGAGCTAACAGAACT